ATATCTATATAACTATTAAATTCCTCTACCATCATATACTTAACTAAATGTTTTACACTTTTAAGATTATATATTATAGTGCTTTTAATGCATTACACTATATGAATTGATTTGTAACCTTTGTGATTTCTATCTTGATGAATGAATTTTTTTAATAAAAGAATAGGATTATGATCAGATGGACGTTGCCCCTGCAATCAGGGGCTTGTCCCATGTGATAGTCACTCAACTGTACAAGTTTTCATATAACATCCCAAACAAAATGAACGATAAATAGGATCTTCAACACTGGACTGGTTCTTGATCCGTTGGCCTTTTCAGGGCTTTCTCTAATGAAACAAAGAAAATATATGCCTCAATTTAGGCAAAAACTAGTGTTAAGCCCCTATATATTTTTCTACTTTCTCATATAAGTTCTTAAAGAGTAAAAAGTGGCATGTAAACTCCTAATTAAATGCTCGGATTTGAGTAAATTAAGTCGCCCTTGTGTTAACAATAGAATCATGTGTGGTTGTGAAAGGCAATCATTTTTTTTTTTATACCAAGTGTGGCAATTCTTTTACATTTAAATGTTGATATGATATAAGACTTGATTATTTTTTCATAATTTTGAGAATTTTAAATTATATGATACATGTATTTAAGTATAAAATAATTGTTACATCACTATATAAGTGTAAAGGAATTGCACACAAGTGAAAGAAAAAAAAGGATTGTTTAACTTATGAAACTACATGTGATTCGGCATTTAATACAAGGACTAATGGACTCAAATCTAGTTCTTTAAGGGTTTGCATGCCACTTTTTTTTCTTTAGGAGCTCATGCCAGAAAAAATTCTAGGGCCTTAACATTGGGTTTAGCTCTCATTTATTACTTGGATGAATAATTTCTTCATCGGTTATGATGGAACAGGTCTAGACAAAATCATTCATTATGATGTTTGAATTGGGTAAAATTCTATGGTTTAAAGGTATTAATTGCATGGGGTAAGCAATGATTACATATTGATGGTGGCAAAATAACTTGAACTTTGAATTTTACTAGGGGTAGAAAGGGAAGGGACTGTTTAATAATGAGATGTGCTAAATACAATCAGTCATGGATATCATCAGTCATGTGATTTAAGAATATAATTATTATTATTTTTAATTATAAATTTAAAATTTAATTTTAACTTTTATATATTAAAAAATATATTAAATCAATGATGTACAAATCATTTTCCTTTTTCAAATTACAAAAAGTCAAGTGCATATATATTGTCATAATTAATATGGAGATTTGAGTATACATTTTCAAATCACATGAGCTAAAGTATATATTTTTGTAATTTAAGAGTTAATTGCACCCACCACAAACTCTCATTGAAGTAAGTGCCAATTTCACTTCTATAAAAATTATATATGCTTTCTCTGTTCGTTTCGTTGCCGATGAAATATGGAAGACTTAAAAGAACATCCTCACAAACTATTTAGTTATTAGTAATCCTTCTTTTTTTTTTAAAAGTAAGAAATTATGAGTTTAGACTCTATGCATATATATAAATATATATATATATATATATTAAAAAAAAAAAACTATAATGGATGGAGAGGCTTTAAAAAATATATATATTTTTTGTAATGCTGTTGTGGTAATCAAGGGAAGAATCCAGCAGAAAATGACAAAATAGCTGCGATATAATACACCTCCTTTACCGGCAACGGTTGTTGGTATAGAAAGAACAGGATCCAGATTTATTCTTAACAAATAACTGCAAGTAGCTCCATCAGCGTCGACCTCGTACGTACGCTTGACTAATTGTGCCTACATTAATGCATACATCTCATTCAAGGTTACGTAGCGCCACCCATAAATGTGTAAAGTTTGCATGGGAAGCAATTCCGATTTTAGTTACTCGTATTATATACGGTTAGAGCTATCACGTTTGTGGTGAAATGTCACCATTTTCAGTCCCCGGGTGCATAATTAGTTTGATATTATATATCTGATGTCTTATACAAATTATCAGTTAATGAATTAGATTTCACGCTTATATAATTGAGCATAAGAAAATTATTAGTACATATTTCATTTAAAATATTTTTTTAATATTCATTTTAATTTAATTATTAAAATATAATATGAGTGTATAACCGATTTAACTTGTTTCCATACTCTATATATGTAATTATATCTTTGAGTTTGTTTGCTTTTAATTTTAGATTAGAAAATGATGATTTTTTTAATTAATGTATTATATAATATGTTGAATTAAATGTGTATTGATTAGTGTCCTTAAAAATAATATAAAGAAGGGATTTTTCTAAGGGAAATGATTTTTGTACAACCTTTTTATTTTATCTTTTTGTACAATTTGACGTGTTATTTAAATGATTGATTCTTTTAATTCATGTGAGATCCGTAATATTAAATGTATCAACTCATTTAATGACACGTGGAAGTAATATAAAAAAGTGGTATAAAAATATTGTCCTTATAACACCATTATTTTTCTAATTAACTTGTAATATGAATTTATTACACATTTTCATTATTAATTTATATGAAAAATATGAAAATAAATTTTAATTAATATTAATTTTAATATACTATAAAATAGATAAATTTAAGAAAATAATTTATAATGATAAAATTAACTTTTACTTTTTTATATAAATTAATAATAAAAATATAATAAATGTACTTTTAATTTGTGTCTTTAGAAAATTCCTATAATTAATTTATTTCTTTGCTTAAATGGTGGACGCTAGTTAGTATCTAGGACCCCAAATATTCCTTCACTTTAGACATAAACATGTGTATGATTAAAAGCCCAATTACAAAATTATATGCCTGGATCACAAATTAATATTTAAGTAGGGTAGCTTACAAAATTCATAAGCCTCATATACTGGAAGATAAAAATTTGCACTCGTCCAACATAAAATCAATAATTAGTAATAGACAAGGTTCATAAAAGTTAGGCTTGTAGGTCTTTTAAAGGATGTTTTAGAATTTAAAAAATGAATTTTCATATTTAAAAATCTCAAATTTGAATATAAAAAAAAAAAATTGAGAAAGAAAAAGTTATCTCATTCTGCATAATATATCTTTCAACACGCACCAATAAAAAAAAAACGTTTCAAGGGTGCATGTGAGAAGACAACCACAAGCTCTCCAACATTCAAAAAAAAAAAAAATCAATTTTTTCATTTCCGGAACATCCCTTGAGGACACTTAATTTCATGTTTAGGATCAATGAATCATGAAACTTTTTTTTTTTTTTTTGTTGCACAATGTTGAAAAAACTAGATTGACTACTTTAGTGAATTATTATGGGTTCCACTATTATGGTTTAATTATCGGGAAGGGTTGACGGATTCGGCCTGCTGGTCGATTCCATGACAGACGCTCCCCAGTCCCCAGCAACATAATAATAATTAATTCTCTATAATCAAATTTTATCTAGTAAATTCTTAATTAAGAAGCTATAGGTAATAAAAGTTTCTAATAAAATATAGATTAAAAATGTATTTATTATATTTTTTATTATTGATTTACATAAAAAATTATAAAAATAAATACTATTTCAACATTAAGTCACGTGTTATAATTTAATTAAATAATTGATAAAATTTAAGTTAATTTTTATTTTTTTATATAAATTAATAATAAAAAATATAAAAAATATATATTTAATCTTAATTTGTGTAGGAACCATGTTAGAAAAATTTTTTTATTTTACATAAGAATTAAGAGAAAAAAATAATTAAATATCAATATCAAAGGCATCTTTTCTGAAAAGGGTTAATTACCAATCGACACGTAAATGATTGAAATCTTTGCTGATATTTCTTTTCATTTGGAGAAGAAATAATTTGAACTTTTAAAAAAGGGACCACTGCAAAAGGATGAAATGAGAGAAGATGCTGCCTTTGGGTTTGCGTTGGAAATTAATTAAAGATCTATCAATCTCAATTCTCAGAAGCTGTAACCCAATAAGCATTTCATTCAACCACGACTTCAGACCCTGTTCCACCTGGCTTTTCCACTTCCACTTAAAAAAAAAAAAAACAATTTTCTTTTTTTTTTTGGAAAAACGGCTGAAATAATCGCAGATATAATGAAACTAATAATTCGCATCTGCTTTTTTAGAGAGCCATGGCACCTTGTAGGCGTGGCTAATTTCCTCGATCTTTGCAAGGATTCTCGCTACCAGGGCTTAATAGGGCGGAATATTCCTCTCGTGAGTAGGCACAGGACCATTTTTTCTTTACAAAATTTTACAAAAAAAGCTTCTCTTGCCTTACAAATTCATAGGATGCTCACCGTTCTTTTTGAAAAAAGAAAATTATTGAATCCAACCTAATTTAGCTACCTAATTCACACTTATAGCTCATACCTGTCTCTCATTTTAATTTTAACTCGATTTTAAAAATAAATTATTTTAAATTTAATTCAATTCAACACACCTTCTCACGTTGTAACATGGATTGACAGGAGTCTAGGACTGCCGGCCGGACACATTTCTCGTGGGTAATGGACAAATTATCTCCCGCCAAAAATCTTCACAAAGACAAAAAATGAGGGTTGTTCCTTAACCTCATGGGACCCCCCCGTTGCCATCTTTAGCTCTTAGCCCCCTCGTCTTCTGTCCTTGGAAACGACAAACTATATATCACTCATAACCATTCCAACCATCTTGAGATTACATTCGGGTCTTGCATCCTGTGCGGATGCGAAAGGCGTGAATTGACTGCTTATTGCGTCTTTGGTGAGAGCATATTAGGCAAAAGGTACCGTTTGCCCCTTAACTTTTCGAATTTGAGGGTTTTTACCCTTCATATTTTCGAGTTTGGGGAAATGAGGTAAAATTTAATGTCGGAGCGTCACATGTAGCACATGCACCGTTGGCCTCCGTCAAGTATGCACATATCAACGCCACCTCAGACTTTTTTTGACAACTTGGCATGCCAACTTGGACCCCATGAGCGGAACGTCTACCTGCTACCAATTTTATTTGTGGGCTCCATCGCTGACTAAAGGTTTGAAAAAAAAAAAAAAAGACAGATGAATGCCAGGAAACTGTCCGACTATTCACTTTCCTCTTCCCTTCTTCAACCATTTCTTCAACTTCTGCAAATCTCCAACATCTCAACCAATCTATTCACCACAATCAATTTCTACATTCTGAGTTCTTCATTATCATCAAACAACAAAACCCATAGAAAACCAACAAAAAAAAACAAAACCCACTGTGGTTCTTCATCATCATAAAAAAAAAAAGAAAACAAAACCTACAGAAAACAAAAAGAAAAAAAAGGAAATTTTTTACCATTGGGTTGCATCGAACCCACGCCTGGGTTCGTTGGAACCCACGCCTGGGTTCGTTGGAACCCAGCGCTAAGGGTTCCACCAAACCTAGCGCTTGGGTTCCCTGGAACCCAAGCGTGGGTTCGATGGAACCTAGTGCTAGGGGTTCCACCGAACCCAGGCCTGGGTTCTGGCGTGGGTTCCATGGAGGCTTCTCTTAGCAAAGAATTCTGTTGGGTTTCAAGGGAGAGAGAAAGGAAAGGAGAAGGAAAAACACAAAAAAAGAAAGATTTTTTTTTTCATATTATTATTTTTTTATGTTATTATAATAAAAGCCAAGCTGGACTTGTCAACATGTAAGAAATCCTGAGT